AAATCCCAAAAATACCAAAAATGTGGAAATGCTTTTCAATCCAGTTTACAAACGATGCCCCCCCCCCCCTTCCCGCCTCCCAAAAAAAAAAAAAAAAATTCTTGTCTCACATTTGATATGATCTCCTCAAGAAATAATGCAAAGTCAATCGGTCTGCCTTCAAAAAACCTTGACATATCTGTGGTTGGTTGTCAGAAAAATGAAAAGTCAGCATTTATGGAGTGGCTTGTTTTGTTTTTTTTCTCCAAGTCATCCATTTGTAGTGGGGTTTTGCCTTTAGCATCCAAATTCCACAGGTGACTTGTGACATGTCTCTGCTCGTGACTAATGGCGACATTAGAAATCGTTTTCAACGGATGTTTCGTGTCATTGCTGTCCGTTGGCCGATCAACCGGCGCGTTTGTGCCTTTACGCTTACTTTGCATTGCCCATCTTGCGGGTTGCTTGCGCGCCAAAGCCTCCCTCGCACCGGCTAAACAGGTTTGAATGACAGTGTGTTTGCTGGAGAGTGACTCACCGCAGCTTTGAATACTCCGCTGTGTGCAGCCTGATGGCCTTTGTCACTCGATGAAGTTGGCTGCGCGCATCCTTCTCGACTGGCTCATTTCATCAGGCTGCTAACAGTCTTTCGCTAGCCTCTGCAGCGCAAGTGTCAAAGTGGCGCTGCAAATATAGCATTGTTTAGGGTGTAAAAAATAGGCCAAATATCCGTGTTTGGTGCCTACCTTGGTTAAAAGTTCGGAAGGGAACAAAATGTAAAACAAACCACTTTGAAATTGTTTGTGCAAATGGGAAGACGTTGAATGACGATTTCAAAATAAAATGTCCATGGCTGAAATTTTTACTTTTTCGCAAAGCGCAACATCAGTAGTTTCTTCTTTTTAGGAAATGAAGGCGGCAGGCCTGCCCAACAAGGTATTATTATTATCATCATGCTGTTAAAAACAACAATAATGGCATTTGGGGAAAAAATAGCCTAAGCGTTATTTGGCCATTCAAATGACGCTGGATTATTTTTTTCTTTGAACAACTAGCTCACCATGACGTCAGCTGTCCTGTTTATCGACCAACATGTGGCGATTCAGTTCGACTTGTTGTCTCTCACCTAATACGTTCTGCATGGGAACCCCATTAATCCCATTACATAATTGCCTCTGCATTTGCTTCAGATTTTTCATGCTTGGTCTTGAACAAGGAAAAAGTGATGCAATCTTATTCTTGAGTTTGACGCCCCTGCTCTCGAAAGGCAAATCTAGTGTGTGTGATTGTCCCTCCGGGCACATGAAATCCTCCAGATTGAGAGATGTTATTTATTTTTTCTTGTTGTCCACCTGGAGCAAAAGATATTGCTTGCACGCACACGCACGCTCAGCGAGATAAGCTGAGCGTGGATGCTCGGCAGCCGTGGCCATCTACGGCCGTGCAAACCCACCAAATTTGGACAAGGATTGCAGGCAGATCGACGTGTGCCCTGAACGTGAGGCCACTCTGTGTGCGTGCGTGCGTCTATCTGTTGTCAATGACTTTGTTGTCATAGCAACCCCGGCAGAGAAGGAGAGAGAGAGAGAAAGAGACAGTCCAGGCGCTGTGTTGAAGGATGGTGGGTGAGTTGGATTTTTATGAGTACTGTAGTAATTGTGAGGACAGTGTAGCTCTGAGTTCACGTTTATTCCATAAATCGTGTTGTAATATCAGGCAGCACGGTGGTGAGTGCTTTGTCCATTTGCCTCACAGTTCTCAGTTGCTCTGCAATTCCTCCCACAGCTTTTGCAGGTGAGAGATGACCTACCAGGAAGATAGATGTCAGGCTGGTCGTATTGGAGATTTGTTGTTGTTGTTGTTTCAATTAGCGTATTGGCCGCTGACCAGTCCAGTGTTGGTGTATGTGCCCCAATGTTGGCTGGTGACCAGTCCAGGGTGTGATGGATGGTGCACTGATTGACGATCCATTTCTACTTAATTGGGCAACGAGTGCATCTTTGCTCTTGTATCGGCGTCAGCAACATATCGTGCCAGGGTGATCAATAACAAGCTCTTCCACACAACGTCCAATGAACAAGCCGATTTACTTTTAGTGACTCATATGCGTCTTGTTGTAATGACGTTTTCAGAAATGCTATTGGCGTGTCATGCAAAGTGGCTGATTGGGCGTCTCCCCCCCCACCCTCCACAGGCCTGCATCGACGACAACCCAGACATGGTGACGTTCCTGGTGACGCACGGGGCCAGCATCAACCAACCCGACAACGAGGGCTGGATCCCCCTCCACGCCGCCGCCTCCTGCGGGTACCTGGGCATCGCAGAGTGAGTGGTCGTCGCCGCCAACGGCACAACGTGGCCTATGTGTTTCTTTTTGAACCGATGCGATCTCGTCCGAGGAGATCAGGGTCACTCCTTTTCAGTTAAGCGGACCGATGTTATCAGACGGATATCAAAACAGGCTCAAAGGAGTGCTCAGTTCCCCTTTCCTGACCTGATTTGCTGTTGCCGTACGGCCAGGCGACACATTTAGCCACGGTTTTTGGGAAGCGTCGGGAGAGAATTTCAGCACAATACACATGCAGGGAAAAGTGGAACTGAGAAGTGGAGCCACGAGTGAAAGCAAAGGGTCAAGTCGCTGGTCAGACGGGTGACTAATGGAGACGCTGTGTCACAGAGGGAAGAAGAAGAAGGCTCTTTTTAGTCCGGCAAGCCAGCAAACAACAGATTCGGCCCACAAAGCAGCCAATCTTGAGATGCGGAGCAAGGAGTCAAAGGGGCAAAGCGTGGCCCGAGAGTCTGTTCCGTTCTTGAATCAGCCGCGCGGAGCATTTACACATTCGAAGGTCCTTTGAGATGATCAATGATTTTATATTCGGTTCAAATGGATGTGTTGTTTTCATTTCATAACGCGATCTATCCATCCATCGATTTCCCATATTTCGCATGACACTCAATGGAGTAGTGGCTCAGTCTGCATTCTGATCGCCACCCGATGAGCGCGCGCAGCCCCCGAGGTCGTCGCCCGTGCAAAAAAACGCCACTGCCTCTTTGCTCCCGCCCGCGTTCCCTCCATGGCTCGCCTCGCTGAAACTGTCGTGAATGGCAGGTACCTCATCAGCCAAGGGGCCAGCGTGGGCGTGGTCAACAGCGAGGGTGAGACGCCGCTGGACATCGCCGAAGAGGAGGCCATGGAAGAGCTCCTGCAGAATGAGATCAACCGACAAGGTACAGATGCAACTGACTCCTCCGTTGTTTGACAGAGGGCTAATTTTAGCAGAATTTTGGAGGGTGGGGCCTTATCCACGAACATCGCACCGTTTCTAAAAGTGGCGAGCATATCGGGATTAGGGGGCCCCCGCGCAGTATGTCATGCATAGATGTGTTGCTCACTTCTCACTAACTGTCAGTCACCTGCTCCTTTTTCCACCCGCTTACATCATAGTAACTTCTCTGAAAAGTCACATCTTCTCTATTCTCGGCCTGAGATGATGACTGTGCCCTCCGCTGCGTCAAGGCCTGCTTGGAGCGGTTCGGTGTGGAAGGGCAACCCTGCCAAACGCCGCGGCAATGAAGAATCGCTTGCCATGTGATGTGTTCTCCTGGTTTAAAAAAAAAAAAAAAAAAAAAAAATCCCCCCAAAAAAAAAAAAAAATCCCCCCAAAAAAAAAAAAAAATCCCCCCAAAAAAAAAAAAAAATCCCCCCAAAAAAAAAAAAAAATCCCCCCAAAAAAAAAAAAAAATCCCCCCAAAAAAAAAAAAAAATCCCCCCAAAAAAAAAAAAAAATCCCCCCAAAAAAAAAAAAAAATCCCCCCAAAAAAAAAAAAAAATCCCCCCAAAAAAAAAAAAAAATCCCCCCAAAAAAAAAAAAAAATCCCCCCAAAAAAAAAAAAAAATCCCCCCAAAAAAAAAAAAAAATCCCCCCAAAAAAAAAAAAAAAAAAAAAAAGCACCAAAAAAATGTCGTCAGCTTTGAACTGCTGCCAGTTCCTCTGCTGGCTGGCTGTCATTGTGCAGTCCTACTTAGAGACCATTAGGCTCCCTGCTTTTTATAGACGCTGTGTAGGCAACTTCCCAAGAGATCACGGGACAACCCGCCAGGCCATCGCTCCACTCCCGACATCCTGTCCGGTCCCGTTGTTGCTCACTTGCAGTCTCAGCGCCATTATTTTGGAAAAACTGTGTTGCAAGAGTTAATTCGCATGCATCCTGATGCAACTTTTCACCAGCATTCCTGGAGAAAGAAATTTTCAAATACACTGCCTGCTGCACGTCGTGGCTCCTGGGCCGGTTCTCTCCTCAGCTCACTGTTTTCGTGTCGTACCAATCAGCGAACAGGTCGCTCCCCTTTTCCGCAGATTGAGTTTAGCGAGCGGATCAGGTGTATCGAGAGACAAAGCAGGCCTGTTTGGTGTATCGTGCTGACACATTGACCCACTTAACTGGCCGCTAACTCACCGTCACGTTGACAGAACATTGGCTACCAAACGCACACTGCAAACCACAACAAGCGCACCAACCGTAAACACAAGCGACAAAGACTTGGAGCTCACGGGTCCCGCCCCCCTTTTTTTTTTCCCCCTCCCTCCCCTCTGTCTGGCAGGCGTGGACATCGAGGCGGCCCGCAAGGAGGAGGAGCGCGTCATGCTGCGCGACGCCCGCCAGTGGGTCAACAGCGGCCAGATCCAGGACATCCGCCACGCCAAGTCTGGAGGAACGGCGCTCCATGTGGCTGCCGCCAAGGGCTACGTGGAGGTTTTAAAGTAAGCGCTCTGGGCCCCGACAACCGGACGGCCCTCAGAGGGCCAGTGACGTGCACGCGATGTTGGTGGACCGCAGCTGTGTGTCCACCTGGTTCAGGAAGCCAGCCAGGATGGTCCGCTGCCACGGGTTGATGCGCCGTCTCAGATGTTCGCTTAATGAGACAAGGGTACAAATGTGATCAAATTAGCCATTAGTCTTTCATTTGGCTCCTTAAACCGGTCCTTCCCAACCACTTTGCGGTGAGAGATCATCAGGTGTGCCAAGGGAAATGATCCAATTTCACTCCGACGTTCCCACAATGATTTATTGAACACAAATGAAGGATCTGCCTTCATCTGTCAAGCTATGCCAGTGGCATTTAGCGACAGGCGGAACAATGAAATGCTGTTCAACAATATGGCAGAAGGTACATGCAACCTGTGCATGTTCAAGAGTAGTTCAAGCCTTGAAATAGCCCTCCCGCACACTTCCAACACATCGAAACCGACTCAAACCTAGTTTTGAACTTAGTCTACGCGTATTTGAACCCACCCAAAAAGTGCAAGAAAATACTCATGATTGTTGCCGTTCTGCTTTTTGTATTCCACAGGCTTTTAATCCAAGCGGGGTATGATGTAAATATTAAGGACTACGACGGCTGGACTCCTCTGCACGCGGCGGCACACTGGGGCAAAGAGGAGGCCTGCAGGATACTCGTGGAGAATCTTTGCGACATGGACGTCATTAATAAAATGGTTTGTGTCCCCGATATGCAGTGTGTCCATTTTGTTTTGTTTTTGTTCAAGTCATGATTGCATTGTGCATCAGGGCCAGACGCCTTTTGACGTGTCGGATGAAGATGTTCTGGGATACCTGGAAGAGCTTCAAAAGAAACAAAATCTGGTAAGAGTTTCCGCCAATGCCGCTCATCATCGATTGAATGCGCAGTCTCATTTTCAGTCTTCATTCCAGCTGATGAGCGAGAAGAAAGACGACAAGAAGTCTCCTCTGATTGAAACCACCACCACGGGGGACAACAACCAATCACTGAAGCCATTAAAGAGGTAATCAAAGTGAGGCATTTTGCTCACGCCGCCGGCGCTCAAGGCGCTAAAAATGCCTGCGCCGCAGCAAAGAAACGCTACTGCTGGAGCCGGAGAAGAGCGCCCCACGGATCGAGACCCTGGAGCCCGAGAAGGTGGATGAGGAGGAGGAGGAAGAGGAAGGCAAGAAAGATGAATCCAGCTGCTCCAGCGAAGAAGAGGAGGAGGAAGATTCCGAGTCGGAGAACGAAACGGGCAAGTCCTCCGTCCGTCTGCAAACGGGGGCTGGCGGAGTTCATGTCTTCCAAACAATTTCTGGAGCTCCCGAAGTTACGGAAAAATAATCTTGAATCAATCGATCTTGAATTGAACTCTGACTTGCCCACCGCTTCATAGCAGTCCAAACAATGAACCAAGCATGCACGTGAGAGGAGATTTCGGAAATGTCATATTGCCCAGCCCTCGTCTGCGCGTTGCTTTCGTCTTGTTGTAAACTGGCTAACTCCGACTTCATCCTCTTTCTAGATAAAAGCAAACCTTCGGCATCGGTGGGCAACAGCACCATGATGCCTGCCCCGACCAGCATCACCGTCTCCTCCGCCACCAGCCAGCTCACCAGCCCCTCGTCGCCAACTAAAAAGGTACCGTGCACCAAATGCTTCCAAAAACCTGAAGGAGGTGCACAAACCAAACACATTTCAACCTTTTCTGAGATTGAAGGACACTGAATTAGTTGGCAAAAAAAAAATGTTCTCCAGTGCTGTGAGTTGCAGCACTAAGTGAATGCTGGCCCTGCAGAAGTGCAGGGCCAGCATTCACTTCATCCTCATTTGCAGATGCTGCCCTCTGTTGGTAAAATGGACACGTACAGATGGTATTTGTAGTCAAAGAAGCATTTTTCGAGATGTGTTGGGAGTGTTTTGTAGAACAGTAGTACCTTGCGATTTGAAAATGAAGGTTGTCTAACAAACGTGTTGGCGTCGCTGAAGTGGCCCTGGCGATTGCATGCCTCCTCCTTCATGATTGCTCTTGCAAATCCAAGGCCGGCTCCTCTTCTCTTTGATATGATTCATTTTGCTGGCTGCAGGTTTTTCTTCTTTTTCATGCAAATGTTTTGTTGGTTTTTTTTTTCCTTCTTTTGAAGCCTAGTAACCCACGCATTCATCTTCATTGGAAACAAATGTCCCAATGACACAATGTTTCCTGAGTTTGGCACTTGGCAGTAATGAAGTGTGGTGTTAGTAGACCTCAAAGACAAAGTCTGTCCTTGCTACAAAGTGTTTCTTTTGCCGCTGCTTCAGTCTTATCCTCTCAACCTGCTCCCGTCTCTCTCTCTCTCTCTCTTGCCCCCGCCCCCCCTCCTCTCTTGCGGTCTGCATCCGCTGGCTCTGTGTCTTGGGTTGGTTGTAGTTTGATTGTGTTGCTCCCGTCATGCCCGCGGCGGAGCCGGGCTGTCCCGCATTGTGGCGTCAAGGCTTGCGCAAAACTGGCATTTCTCTAGTGCCCAAAAAAGCAACGGTGAGGCCAGTTTGGTGGTGTGCACCGCGATTTTCTCTTCTCTCATGCACCTGTACTAAACAAAGACCCCCTCAAAACCGTCCTGTCTGTCCTGCGTGACACTGACATTCATCGGATCCACTTCGTTTGTGCTTTTTTCCTTTTTTTTTTTTTTTTTTGGTGTGACTTATGTTGCTTGTTGAAAAGATTTCTGAGCACGATTAATGTTGCTTTGATAAAGTTAGCATGAAGCAGAGGTGGGAGACTTGAGTCACCAATTTTCTGACTGAGGAACATAACCACAGGTTCTGAGTGCCAAAGTGGCCACTGTGCATCGAATATCTGCTGTATGGCTTGACTTGCTTAACCCAAGGAATGATTTTGAAATTTTGAGCGTCCTCCATTTGACTTGCTTGAAACTGAAAGGACTTGAGACTAATGATTTGCACACATGTGACTTACTCCCACCTCTGCCATGATGGAAGTACAGTTAGACGGGTTCGATGTGATCCTCTTAACAGGCATGTCCCGAAAACCCGATTCTTAACCTGGATCGTTGCACTTTCTGCAATTGAAATGTGACTCACGTTGCCTCTTTCTTCCCAGGTGGCCACGCAACCCAGCACCAAGGCGTCGTCCAAAGTGGAGGAGGAGCGCAAGGACGAGTCGCCGGCGTCGTGGCGCCAGGGGCTGCGGAAAACGGGCAGCTACGGGGCGCTGGCGGAGATCACGGCCACCAAAGAGGCGCAGCGGGAGAAGGACACCACCACGGGAGTGATGCGCTCGGCCTCCAGCCCGCGCCTCTCCTCCTCGCTGGATAACAAAGACAAGGTCTGTGCGCGGGAAGGCCCCCTCCTCTCCCCCGTCACAAAGATTGAGCATTTACTGGATGTGTGGCAAACTCTGAAACTTTGCACAGGAGAAGGACAAGTCGACTCGGCTCGCCTATGTGGCACCAACCATTCCCAGGAGGCTGGCCAGTGCATCAGATGTCGACGAGAAGGAAAACAGGTGAAAGAACGTAACTCCCACCAGGAGTGGGGAAACATTTCTTGATGGGGGGGAGGTGGAAGAGGACACGGGTTAGGTGAGCGTGAGAGCACAGGATTGAGGGAAGGAGCGGGGAGCAATAGGCACAACGGCAGCCGTAGCAACGTCAGCAAGCATGGCGCCTGCCTCCACAGGGACTCGACCTCGCTGATTCGTAGCGGCTCGTACACCCGGCGGCGCTGGGATGACGACCTGAAGAACAGCGAAGGAACCACCTCCACTAACAGAACCCCCAGCTACCAGCGAAGGTTAGCCACCAACACCGCCGCCGTCGCCCTGAGACCACCAGCAGGAGCTGCTCCTTGCTCTTCATGCGCTTCTTGCCGCGGCCATGGCGTTGCCAAGGTTTCAGGGAAAACGCTTTCACAAAGTCAGCTGCCTGACATATGTTGCATCCGCCACACGTCGGGGCTTTTCGTGGACGCCACTGGCTCAGACAAGTATTTACAGGGATTTTATGACATCATATATGACACGAAAATCAAAAGACAGTCAGTAATTGAGAACAAAAGTGCACACATGTGCAGTTAGTGAAGCAGCAAAGCAGCCAGACGGCCTCAAATTCAGCAGGTCACCTGTGTGACATGAATGCGACTAAAGTGTCACAAATGTGTTTGTTTGTTCATATATGTGTGTGTGTGCGTGCGCACGTCTCCACTGCTAACATGCTTCTTCCACCCGCCTGCCACCCCCCCTCCCCCCGCCAGCACGTCCCACACGCTGGCGCTAGGGCGGAGCGGCAGCACGCGGGACGTGCCGGCCAAGTCTTCGTCCACCTCCAGCTTGGACCCTAACACCTGTAACACTAAACCCTGGCAGCCGCCCGCCTCCCACTACCAGTCGTACAGCATTTACCGCAGGTACACCCAAACGCCCGCCTGCCGCTCACCGTCCCACACGCAACTGTCGGACCACTTCCTCTTGATGCGCTCGGAGTCGTCTGCTATCCACAGCAGCCTTTTGCTTGTTGTTGTTTGACACGCCTGAACGCCGCGCTTTACTAGAAGTACAAATACGAACCTGAAGTGGGACCTTGAGATACAAGGTAGCAGTTTTTGCCTTGGACTTGCTCGAAGGCACCGTTTGGTGGCGGTAGCATACTGGCCCCAGTTGGCCGTGGCGCACAAACGAGGAGGAGCAGCAAAATGTTCCTTGAATTGAAGCCAAAAAAGTGACAAAATTCTTGCCGTTCCATTACAAGGTCGTACTGAAATTGTTAGAAAGTCAGGAGACTTTTTTGCCTTTTTTGGGAGGGGGGCTGGAAAGGAGTCATGGCATTGCTTCCCACCACCAATGCAATCATCCACTTCACAAGCACTAAGAAGCAGCAAGTTTTGGTTTGTCGATAACGTTGCGCCAATTTCCGCCCCGTAGCGGCTCTTTTGGCAGACGATACGACGACTTGAGCCCCTCGACGACGAGCGCCACCACCACCTCGGCCGTCTCGTCCGCGACAACAACAACCGGCACCACCTCCTCATCATCAGTTACCTCGCCCATGGGCCACCGCGGCCTCCTCTCGAGCCTGGGCTCCGCCTCCACCCGTACTGGCTCCACCAGTCTCACCAGCAGGTCGGGTCCACGTCAGACCGCTTTTCATTCGAATTTTCAACCTGCGCTCCCAATCACCGTGCCGCGGGAAATTATTGACTTGGGACAAATACTGCGTCTTTGTTCATCTCGCGACGAAAATGCGCCTTGGCTGCAACACGCTCGTGTAATGGGCGCCGTCTCAACAGGTACTGGTCCGAGGAGAACGCGGACAGGGAAAAAGACAGGGAGCGGGAGTCTGCCGCGGTCATCCCCACCATAAACACTGGCTCTACCACCACCACCACGTCGGCCACCACCGTTATCGGCACGTCCGGCACCACCACCACCGGCCCCGAACGACGCAGGTGAAGAAAATGTGCTCTGAAACAAAACGAGCAATCATAGTCAGAATATGGGAAAGGAAATAATGGAGACCACCCCACAAAAATGTTGTCAAGTGCCTATTTTGGGACGGGCAAATGTGATTGCAGTCCCGCAGCGATACAGAATCGCGCGCAGCTTTCAGATAGTCTCGCTCTTGTTCGAATGTCTCGTACTGTCCGGCTCCATCGTGGTTCGGGGCCACAACTCCGTCTCTCAACCGGCCAGTTTACAGCGAGCCAATTGGACTCTCTCGATTTGCTGACAGCCGCGTCGCTCGCCGGGCCCCGCCTTTTGAAACCATCCACACTCATGTATCGTGCTTTAGTTTGTCATTTGCAATTTCAGGTCCTACCTGACACCCGTACGAGACGAGGAGTCCGAATCGCAGAGGAAAGCTCGCTCTCGACAGGCCCGTCAGTCGAGGAGGTCCACCCAGGTGTGTTGATTGAAGCCTCCCGCCCCCCCCCACCAAAATTTATTCCTACAGCGCTTTCATAACAGCCACAAAGTGCTTTGCAGAACCTTGAACCTAAAATACCAATCGTACACACAACACATCCAACTAAAAACCATACATGGCAATTTTCCGCGGATTCGCGGAAATCCGCCGTTTTATTTCTTAAATTGATCATTTTTGTGAATCGTCTAAATCCGTTGAGAAAATTTTAGGGGCCGTCAGGTACCTTATCGTCGAGTTTTCACGAGCTCTCCCGAACAGTCTCTCCGTTTTCCGTTTGTAAACAGCCCTGCGATTGGACGTGTATGAAAGCTTCAACTAATCAGATCACTGAAGGCATTATTTGTTGCGGAAGTCTTAGCTCGATTATAAACAGCCCAGCGATTGGTTAACTACAAGCGATTGGACCAATCAAATTGCATGTAACATATTGCTTTACCTGATTCATGGCGGCCTGTTCGTCTCGCAAATTCATTGTTCTGGGATCGTTTTGAGCGGAATTATGAAAATTTTGACGAAAGATCAGGAGTCTTTAATCCTAGAAATTGACTCAAATGTCAAGAATAAATTCCGATTGGACTGGCTTGACAGAAAAGTCACTGTAAAGGTTAAAA